GCAGGGTGAGTATCCTTGAGAAAGCACATGCTTCTACAAGGTCATGTCTAAAGACTAAACAGAGATTCTAGCAAAACACACGGGAGCTCGGACTTGTTTGGAAAAGTCAAGGCAGGGGCTGCTGCCTTCGACAAGGTCTCCCTAGAGCCCCCCTGCCCTTTCGGAGAATCCTCCTTACAGACTTTCCAACCAAGTCCCGGGCTTCCCCACAAGGAAACCCTGGTTTTTCTATGAAGTGCTCACCATCAGAGAACAGTGTTTGCTTGTGGGTCAGCTGACCTGTAAGGCTTTAAGTCAAATATGGACGGGAAAGGGGGAAAGACCTAGAATACACAAACTAGTCCTAGTGTGATTCTCCCTGACGAGGCTGCTCTTTCCTCCGCCCGAGCTTGGCCCTTCTTCACCGGCTCGCTGCTACTCAACTCGCAGGCCCATGGGATCGGAATCCCCCAGAAATAAACCAAGTCGCTGAGCTCAGCACACCCGTTCCTTCCCGGCTCTAAATGCAAGCCTATTGCATGTGTCTCTCACCAAATCAGACACACCTTTTCCTTGCTGCACAGATCTCAGGCCTTGGCTTGGTCTCACCTGGGCACCTTGGGCTCATGTAAGAAACTACATACACTCGGCTCAGGTGACCACGCAGTCCCCGGGGAACGCAGGGAGCCCTCTCTCACATGGAGATCAACTATGGCACGACCTCTGAACCACTTACCTGCACGTAAGAAATGAAGGAATAGCACACAGGGGTCAGGTGAGAACCCGACAGCTTCACCTGCAGCAAAGGAAGAGGAAGCCGATGTAAGCGCAGGAACAACACAGCTTCCCCCACTCCTGAGGAAGGCATTCCCAACTCACCAGCTTCTCCATAATCTTTGGAATTCCTCTGGCGCTCCGACACACCTGGATATACTAACAAAAGATTCCTGGATTTAGTGTGTCATCCTATGCAAATGTCCCACACGCTAAAGGTTCACAGGCTTCCTTTCCCTTCCTCAGAGCTCCTAGCTCCACCAACAGGACAGGTGTCCCCGTCCCCCAAAAATATATATTTATATTGATTTCAGAGAGGAAGGGAGAGAGAGATAGAAACATCAATGATGAGGGAGAATCACTGATTGGCTGCCTCCTGCACACCCCACACTGGGAATCGAGCCCGCAACCCGGGCATGTGCCCTGACTGGGAATGGAACCGTGACCTCCTGGTTCATAGGTCAGTGCTCAACCACTGAGCCACGCCGACCCGACAGGAAGGGTTTATTTTGAACTTGTTCAGCTCATCGCTTTAAAAACCCTTCAGGGACAGTCCCTACATCCAGATTGAGTCTTAGAAGATGTTTGAAGAGGCATTCACTTTTTTTTTTAATCCTCACCTGAGGATATTTTCCCATTGATTTTCAGAGAGAATGGAAGAGAGAGGGAAAGACAGAGCGAAACATCGATGTGAGAGAAACACATCGATTGGTTGCCTCCTGCATGGGCCCGGGTCAGAGAGGAGCCTGGAACCAAGGTATATGCACTTGACCGGAAATGAACCCAGGATCCTTTGGTTTGCAGGCTGACGCTCTATCCACTGAACCAAACAGGCTAGCGCAAGGCATTCACTCTCAATCAGGTGCCACATATTCATATGCCAAGGAAATAGAGGCCACCAACTGTTTCCTCCTGGCCTGTGGGGACGCCTGCCACCTACTGACCAAACCAGGACGTGGCCGGTCTCCTGACCCGCTGGGGACAGTGGTGGTGACTCTGGTCCTCGCTCAGATACTCACATACTTGACAAGTGCGGTGAGAATGGTGTACATCTTGCACAGGTCCCTTAGCAGGGTGTCCACGCAGCTGCCCGAGGGCAGGGCGGTCTGCACCAGCTCGTGGAAGAAGGTGAGCAGCGTGCCCAGCTGCATGATGACGGCTTTCTCCACGGGGTGGTTCGGGAGGGCTGCCTGGGAAGAGGCCTCTTCTGAGGGGAAATGAAATTGGCGCGTTCAAACCCAGCAGACCTTCCTTCCTTTTTTTTTTTTTTTAAATATGTATTATTTTATTTCAGAAAGGGAGAGGGAAAGATAGAAACATCAATGATGAGAGGGAATCATTGATCGGCTGCCTCCTGCACACCCCCTGCTGGGGGTCAAGCCCGTAACCCCAGCATGTGTCCTTGACCGGAATCGAACCTGAGACCCTTCAGTCCACAGGCTGACGCTCTATCCACTGAGCCAAACCAACCAGGGCATGGCCTTCCATTCTAGTTAAAGTGGAGGAGCCTCAGAAATCGACACCGTTAACTAGGAGGTCTGAGGGGAAATGAACATGTGACTCGCCACGCACAGTGAAGGGACAACACTGTCAGAAGCCACCGTGCAGCCCCGGGAGACCTCGCTCACACACACAGCTCAGGCGGTGGTCCGGGCTGGACCCTGGTGGACTTGGCTCTCCTCCCGACTCCCGGCACCCCACCCTGAACTCGTCTCACCTGACACGGTTTCTTGGCTCACTTGTCCCTTAAGCTTGGTGATCAGCCAGTCCACTTCTTCCAGGACCTTCTCGGCCTGACTCAGAACCAGCAGCTGTGAAAGGAAGGGATGCCTGCCATGGCCACTGCCCTCGGCGGCCAAACAGAACAGCCATGGCCGCCTGCGGTGGGTCACAGGCCCAGGACGTAAGTCACTGTAAGTCACTCTTCGGGTGACATAAAGTGGGAAGGATGACAGGGCTGTTTCCCATGCTCCGGGATCAGGACTTACACAGACGGTAGGGGCCGCTGTTCGCAAATTCACCACCGCATAGTGGTTTGTTTTCTCCACCTCCACATCCTGGGGAGCGAGAGAGAATGCGCTGTAACCGCGTAGGCCGTGCCCTGACCCTCACCCCCAGTGCTGTGCTGAAGGCTGCCCCTCTACCTCGTCTATGTCCCCAAGGTGCCCGTGGATGTCCTGGGACAGGTCACGCAGCAGGGCGACAGGGCTCTTATGCGCGACGTGGAGGCTGAAGAGCAAGTTCATCGCGCCCTTGCAAAACAAGGCATCCTCTAGGCAGGGAGGAGAGAAAATCAGAAGCTGAGTTATAACCCTGTCAGTGCTTCAGGGTCGGGGTGCCCGGCCAGGACACGTAGCTCATGTTCTGGCACAACACCCCTCCCCCGCCACCGAGCTGCCCACTTGGACCAGCAGCTCACCCACAAACGTGCCCTGATCTCCACGTGCCCAAAGAAGGGAGACAGTTCCCAAGACCGGTCACCCCGACCGCTGCGTAACCCGCACCCAGAAACCCTCTGCCTCGATCGCCCCAACAACGAAACTGCTACCCTGACCTCACATCCAGTCTTGTCTGATTTTGAACTTGATCTACAGGGGTTCACAGAGCAAGTACTCTTCTGTGTCGACAGTGCCAGTGTCCAGAGTGGATGTGAGCAGAGGTCCCACCGCTCTATGCCCCCCGACACGTGGTGCTGTGTCTCTCATGTGGGCTCTTCTGCCGAATGCGTAAATGCTATTCGGTGATGATTTTAAATAAAGCTGACAGGACGCGTGGCAGGAAACTCACCCCGGCTGTTTTCCTTGCAGATCTTGGATGTCCAGGATAACATCTGCACAAACTAGAGACCGTTCAGCTGTTACAGAAACGGCCGAGACGCATCTACAAGAGCCCTAGACCTTCCCCCGCCTAACCATCCGCCAATACACGTGCCCGGACCTACTGGAACATCTACTTGGAACAGCACGAGAGTAGGCCCAAAATTAGGAGAATTACTGATGCTTTCCTTATAAGATAGCATACAACTTAATTCCCCAAGTCTATGCCCTCATTAAGGGCCAAATGTCCTGGGATCCCGGTCTGGGTCTCACCCCCAGCCTCCCCCGCCCCATAACCACGTCCAGGGCTGGAGTTCCTTCCTCCCTCCCCGTGCCCCGCAGCCCTGAGGCATCTCCAAGGACATGAGGCGAGTGGAGAGGGGCAGGAGAGTAAGGTCCTGGCCACAAAGACAGCAGAATTCACTTTTAGGAGACGGGAGGCCAGAGGAGGTTAGAAGGGAGTAGGCAGACAAAAGAAGAAGAGGTGCCCTAGTGGGTTTGGCCTGCGGACTGAACAGTCCCGGGTTCCACTCCGGTCAAGGGCACATGCCCGGGTTGCAGGCTCCATCCCCAGTGGGGGGTGTGCAGGAAGCAGCCGATCCATGATCCTCTCTCATCACTGATGTTTCTCTCTCCCTCTCCCTCTTCCTCTCTGAAACCAACTAAAAAAAAATTTAAAAAGGCAAAACCCAGCATTTTTCTTAGGTGGTAGAGGAGACACACCGAGCTTTCTGCCCAGCAGTTCCTTCCATGGCCTGCAGCCCAAAGGCCCCGACAGGCTGTGATACTTAAGTGCAAGCCAGCCAGTAGGAACTCCTTTTGCTGTACTGGGGGGAACAGTAAATTCAGAGCCTACATCTGAACGCTGTGAACGGAGGCAGACAGGCCTGCAGGTGCCGTGTGAATGTAACCAGCAGGAGGCAGAACACACTTTGGTGTGAGGAGGGGAGGGGACGGGAAAAGGAGCTCCATTCGTATGTGCTTCTCCAGGAATAAGGAAACTTGAAGGATGCATAAGAAGCTAAGAACAGGTATGTACTTCTTTGGGGGAGAAGAGGAGCTGGACAGGTGGGCGGCATGAACAGGATAGGAGGCCGTTGACTATAAATGTCCTTATAATTGTTTGTCTTCAAACCATAAGACTTATTATCTGTTCAAAATTAAATTTACAAGACAAGGGACTGCCCTGGCCGGTGTGGCTCAGTGGATGTAGCATCAGCCCACGTACTAAAGGGTCCTGGGTTCGGTTGTGGTCAAGGGCACGCACCTGGTTGCAGGCTTGATTCCGGCCCTGGTTTGGCTGTGGGTGGGAGGCAACCTATCAATGTGTCTCTCTCACATTGATGTTTCTCTCTCTCTGTCTCTCCCCCTCCCTTCCACTCTCTCTAAAAGTCAATGGAAAAATATCCACAGGTGAGAATTAACAAAAGAAACAAACAAACAAACAAACCCAAAAACCCAAACAAGTGACTACCTGGGATTACGGGGGGAAGTGATGATTAAAAAAAACAACTTCCCACCCTAACTGGTTTGGCTCAGTGGATAGAGCGTCGGCCTGTGGACTGAAGGGTCCCAGGTTCGATTCCGGTCAAGGGCATGTACCTTGGTTGCGGGCACATCCCCAGTAGGAGGTGTGCAGGAGGCAGCTGATCAATGTTTCTAACTCTCTATCCCTCTCCCTTCCTCTGTAAAAAAATCAATAAAATATATTTAAAAAAACAAACAAAACTTCCCTATGTATAAGCCTTTCCAAGCCCGTTTATCTCCCCTCAAACGTCCCCCTGCCTGTCGTCGTATTTCTTTCCTAGTCTTCTGTCCTTTGCAGCAAAGTTATGGGAGGAAAGAATGAAGGTGGAAGTGAAGTGGGGTGAGTTGTTCGGCTCCAGGATGAAGTAAGTGCTAGCAAAAGGGACTTCTTCGGGCTCCCTGGACCTAGAGGGCAGGAGAATCAGGTCCACTTCCCAGCACTCACACACCGCACCACCCGAGCACCCCAGGCTGTGGCCTCTTAAAGACCAGCTCGCCCATAAGTACGGGCGCACACAGGGAGCCTGACCCCTGGGCTCCACGTGTCCTCACAGATCAGGGAGGCCACGTGGGAGAACACAGCCTGGCGCTCCAGGACGCTCCCCGTCCTGCTGCTGGGAACTCCTCCTGAAAGGAGCAGACCCACAACACGTGGCCCTCCTCTCATTCTTCCCTGGGTGTGAACACACTGTCCGTCTGCTGCCACACAACGTCTCTCGGCAGAGCTGTTCCCGCTTTGGGATTGCAGCCACACTTTCTGACTTAATCACCTTTTGCTGAATTGCCCCCAAAGTCAGTACCAGCTAACCTTGCTGAGAAAAGCAACTGCTGAATGTCAGCTAAAAATGAATTTTAGCTATATATATATTAGCTAAAAATCAATTTTAGCTACACACATATACGTACTCACACACATATATTTTAAATATATTAAATATATAAATATATTCTTTTTTAAATACATTTTTATTGATTTCAGAGAGGAAGGGGGAGAGAAAAACATCAATGATGATAATTATCGATCGGCTGCCTCCTGCACACCCCCTACTATGGATGGAGCCCGCAACCTGGGCTGTGCCCTGATTGGAAATCAAACTGTGACCTCCTGGTTCATAGGTCAACACTCAACCAGTGAGCCACACCAGCCGGGCAGATACCTTCCTAACAATTAGCACATTTCCACAGGTTAAGAAGGTTGAGGGCACCCATAGTGCTCCCTGTTCACCCTTGATGGTGGCCAAACGAAAGCAGTGCTCCCGCCTGTGAGGCTGCTTGAGATGCTGTCAGGGTAGGAGCACCACACAGGAAGGGTAACCTAACAGGTCTCACATTAACAAACTCAGGAGCATAATTAAAGGTACAGTCTAAAATAAGCTAGACTTGGAGAGGATATTTAGATACGTGTTTTTTTAATACAGATTTTTTACTGATTTCAGAGGAAGGGATAGAAACATCAATGATGAGAGAGAATCACTGATTGGCTGCCTCCTGCATGCCCCCTACTGGGGATCGAGCCTGCAACCAGGGCATGTGCCCTTGACCGGAATCGAACCTGGGACCCTTCAGTCCACAGGCCGACGCTCTATCCACTGAGCCAAACCGGCCAGGGCTAGCTGCGTTCTTTTAAGATGCAGCACCCTGCCCTTCTGTGGGATGAGAGGTGGGACTGAGGAGGGGCCGTACCTGAGGGGAGGTGGGCTCCAGCAGCCTGGCCAAGCTGGTGAGGACGCTGACGAGGAGCAGGGCTTCCTTGCTGTTAAATTCCTCCTCTTGGCTGCTAAGTAAGTTCAACAAGGACCTCTGAGAAAGGAAAGTACGCAGACACATAAGCAGACATGTTCGTATCAGGGAGGAGAAACATCTCGCCAGAGACCCCCAAGGCTGGGCCAACAAGGATTCAAAGAGGACAAAACCTGAAGATAAACTCGATGGAACAGCTAGTTTCCTACCCTGTTTTCCACCATCAACGTGAGCGTCTCTTAAACACTACAGACCCCTCCCCCTGCACATTAGGAAGGACTGTGCACCCCATTCCGGGCGGTTTACAGCTCCTTGCGCCCCTCCATCTCCCAGGTTCAGATACCCCACCCACCCCAACATTCCCTACACCCCTGCCCTGTCTTCCTTTTCTCTGTTCGTCTCCGACCACCTGAATTAACTGTATTTGTCTGCGAGTCTCCTCTCCACTCCAGGTGAGCACCCGGGGGAGGGACTCTGTCTCCCTTCTTCCCTCCTAGATCTCCCAGCCCCTGGAACAGAACCTGGTGCAGAGCAGAAACTTTAAAGTTATCCTGATAGTATGACAACTAATCAGACGGTTAGACACTGTCCAGCCTTTATGAAACCTGACAAACCCCAATTACGCCAGCGACACAAAGACAAGCTCCACACTTAACAGGCTCCTGGCCATCTGTGTGTGTCAGCTCACACAGTGACCCCCGGGGCAGTGGCTGCGGCAGGCGGCTGGCTCAGCACACACAGCCCAGGCCTTTCTGTGCGGTGCCTCCTCTCTAAGCGTGATGTCTGCTTGTTTGGATGATGACCCAGAGAAAACCCCGTCCTCCCTGCTCACTGTCGCTGGTTCCCCCCGGCTGGCCCTGCTAACAGCGCCTCTGCGAGGCCCCGGCCAGCCCAGCAGCTTCCCACGGCTGCTCACCTGGAACTGCCGGATCTGGAACGCTGCCCTCTGGGTGACCGTGACTTCCACCTCTTCCTCATTATCCGGGACATCTAGGGAAGGGATAGATAGATAGAAGTCTATCTTCCTTGAAACGAACTATGCTCTTTTAGCCTTTTAGTAGCTGAAAGTTTAGAAAGACAAACGTCCTACAGGCAGATTTGAATATATTCCTAACGTTATGTAATTTCTTCATACTATGTCCCACTTTCCAGCCCCTATTCGTGGTTAAGCACAGTCCAGTACGTGCCAATTCTGAACCCACTGCATGTCACTTCCTAGCAACTTTAGGACTGAGCTCAGATGACCTATGACAGGTTAACAAAGAGAATCAAGAGGTCCGGTTAAGAAAGAGAACCCAGCCCGGCCAGCATGCAGTAATGCACTTTCAGCTGTGCCATTTATGCCAGTAATTCCGTCCTGTTCATTCTACCTGCATGGGCGAGTGATAGTGCAGCCCTGGAACATTAATGTTCCCTGACAACCCAAAGCCAACTTCGAAGAGAGAGAAACCTGAGCGGAAACCTTAAACACCGAAAACTTACTACCTTGTGTAGTGGGGTAGATAGTGTCCCCCTGCCCGGCCAGTGTGGCTCAGTGGTTGAGCATTGACCTATGAACCTGGAGGTCACGGTTCGATTCTGGTCAAGGGCACATGCCCAGGTTGCAGGCTTGGTCCTCAGTGTGGGGCGTGCAGGAGGCAGCGATCAATGATTCTCTCTCATCACCGATGTTTCTATATCTCTCTCCCTCTCTAAAATCAATAAAAATATATTTGAAAAAAAGAGAGCCCTGGCTGGTTTGGCTCAGTGGATAGAGCGTTGGCCTGTGGACTGAGGGGTCCCAGGTTCAATTCTGGTTGGGGGCACATGTCCAGGTTGTGGGCCCGATCCCCAGTAGGGGGCATGCAGGAGGCAGCCGATCAATGATTCTCTCTCATCATTGATGTTTCTATCTCTCTCTCCCTCTCCCTTCCTAAAATCAATAAAAAATATAAAAAAAAAGAAGAAAAAGAAAGAGAAACCCAGACCAAGGCCGTGTATCTCGCAGAGGTGCCCACCCAGCGCGCGGAGGAACTGGGGCACCCGGGGCTGGAAGAAGTGCTGCACGGCGCTGAAGATCCTCTGCAAGCCCTCCAAGCACAGCAGCGAGATGCTCTTCCCCTTCTCCTTCTTCCCCGGCTCCTCCACGGACGTCGGAATGGACGTGTATCTCCAGAGCAAGACCCTGAAGGGGAACAGAGACTTTATTTTTATTTTATTTTATTTTTTAATTATTATTATTTTTTTAAATATATTTTATTGATTTTTTACAGAGAGGAAGTGAGAGAGATAGATAGTTAGAAACATTGATGAGAGAGAAACATCGATCAGCTGCCTCCTGCACATCTCCCACTGGGGATGTGCCCGCAACCCAGGTACATGCCCTTAACCGGAATCGAACCCCGGACCCTTCAGTCCGCAGGCCGACACTCTATCCACTGAGCCAAACCGGTTTCGGCATAGAGACTTTATTTTTAAAGTCGGCTTCCCTGCGGTGCCATTTACATACAGTAACTCTCACATCCTCCAGATGTACAGCTCTATGGATTTTAGCAAAGTTACCAAGTGTGCAATCATCCCCCCATCAAGGTAGTCCCATCTCCCCAAAAGCTCCTTCATGCTCCTCTGTAGTCAATGCTCTTCCCCCATTTTCCAAGCAACCACTGATTCCTGTCCCTGTGGTTTTACCATTTACAAAATATCACATAAAAATGGTATCACTCAGCACGAATTGGTTTGGCTCAGTGGATAGAGCATCGGCCTGCAGACCAGAGTCCCGGGTTCAATTCCAGTCGAGGGCATGTACCTCGGTTGCAGGCTCCTCCTCAGCCCGGGCCCTGGTCAGTCGGGGCTTGTGCAGGAGGCAACCAATCGATGTGTTTCTCTCACATCAATATTTCTCTCTCTTCCACTTTAACTAAAAAAAAAAGTCAATGTAAAAACATCGATGAGTGAGGATTAACAACAAAAACTGGTGTCATTCAGCGTGCAGCCTTTTGAGTCTGGCTTTGTTACGGATTAGCACATGCTTCTGAGATTCACCTACGCGGCTACAACTGCCGGCAGTTTGTCCCACGTCGCTGGGCAGCTTCCCACTGCATGGACGGACCACAGCTTGTTCTACACCAATTTATCCATTAGCTGCTGGACATTTGGGTTGTTTCAAATTTGGCTGTTACTGCCAAGTAAATAAAACTTGCTATATGCAAATCCACTTCAAGTTAATATTTTGTAGATGACATCAGGAATGGATAAAGATTCTTTTTTTTGTCTAAGAGTGCTCAATTGGCCCTTACTGGTTTGGGTCAGTGGATAGAGCATCGGCCTGCGGACTGAAAGGTCCCAGGTTCGATTCCGGTCAAGGGCATGTACCTTGGTTGCAGGCACATCCCCAGTAGGGAGTGTGCAGGAGGCAGCTGATCGATGTTTCTCTCTCATCGATGTTTGTAACTCTCTATCCCTCTCCCTTCCCTCTCTGTAAAAAATCAATAAAATATATTTTTTTAAAAAGAATGCCCAATTGTTTCAAAACCATTTGTAGAAAAAGACCTTTCTTTCTCCATTAAATTACCTCAGCACCTTTGTTAAATCAAATAACCTATAACTGTTTATTCTGTTCCTCTGGTTCTGCCAATACACACTATCTTAAATACAGCAACTTTATAAGACTTGAGCCCAGCTGGTGTGGCTCAGTGGTTGAGCATCGACCTATGAACCAGTAGCTCACAATTCGATTCCTGGTCAGGGCACATCCCCAGGTTGTGGGTTCGATCCCCAATGGTGCGTGTGTGTGTGTGCAGGAGGCAGCCGATCAATGATTCTCTCTCATCACTGATGTTCCTATCTATCTCTGCCTCTCCCTTCCTCTCTAGAATCAATACATATATTAAAGACCTGGAGACTCCACAGCCAGCGCGACAGGTTTCCGAGGGTGAGCGTGCGTGACTTACCGGGTTATGTCACAGAGGTTCTGAAAGATCTTGTCTGGGTTTTGCCCATCGGGGCCGCTCACGTGCCCCGTCTCCTTCAGCTGCTGCACCTTCCGCAGGGCCACGCCCACGGCGTAGCGCATGAACTCATTGCTGGACCGCAGCACGGACAGACTCTCCTCGTGGCTTTGGGTGCTGTCCCTAGAGAGAGGGAGAAGGAAGGTTCCTCCTGCCTTCTGGACACTGCTCAGTGTAGCAGCATCCAGCAAGCTTCGGATGATGGACTCTAGGTGTCCAAGCAGTCCATTCGCACACTATCTGCTGCTGAGAGTGTCAGATGCCACAGGCTGGGGGTCGTCCTACCAGACTGCCCAGCCCCCACTTCAGACACCAGCTGCCAGCCCAGGTAACTGAGTTATGTCTCAGGCTCTGAAAGACCAACGGGCTACAGATCGAAGTTCCTAATGACCCCCTCCAGCTCGGAAGGCTGCTGTCTGCACTTCTGACCGGCTGGCTATAAATCCGAGGTTCCCACACCCCCTCCTGGGGTTCAGTTAATCTGCTGGAATGGCTCTCACGGGACTCAGAAACACATGCACGGGAAGAACTATGACGCCCCCCCAGATGACAGTGCCTCCCCCCGGGGCTCCCGGCAGCGTCGTCACAGCGCAGCTGTCTTTCAGCCTCTACCAGCCCCTCACCTGAAAAGGGCGGTGAGGAGATCAGACACAAACTTCAGGGACAGAAAGCTGTCGTTGGTTTTGTTGGCCGCTTTGGTTTTGCCTTTGCCAGCTTTCTCGGTCAGGATGTCAGAGAGCTTCTTGTAACACATAAATAAGCTCAGGATGTCCTCGAACTTGTTCTTGCTGTGGACAAGGGGAAGAGACCACCAAGGACAGCGTCAGAGGCTGTGGCTTCCTGTCGCATGTAGGACACCACAGCGCTTCTTCAGAAGCTTTCTCTATTCCAGACACTGCCATGCGGGAATGACCCCTCATTACCATGAACTCCCAGGCATGCGATCTGCCGAACTATGGTTTCCTCCCGTATTGGGACCAGGCAATACAGAGCATGAGGGTCCCACACTACCACCAATCAAAAGGAGGAATTCTTGATTCCAGGGCCCAGGAATTCTGAATTAAAGTCTGCTAGAGGCACGACATTCGCCTGCCTGTCCATCATAGCTTGGGTGTTCCCTGGTAGGAAACACAGTGCCTGGTCTTCGGCTAGATGTCTACCCAAAAGATACTGTCATGGCCCAGCCGGTGTTGCTCAGGGGTTGAGCGGCGACCCATAAGCCAAGAGTCACTGGTTCAATTTCCAGTCGGGGCACATGCCTAGGTTTCGGGCTCAATCCCCAGTGAGGGCGTGCAGGAGGCAGTCAATCAAGGATGTTTCCCTCTCATTGAAGTTTCTATCTCTCTATCCCTTTCCCTTCCTCTCTCTCTCAAAATCAATGAAAACAGATTAAAAAAAGAGAGAGATACACTGATGTCTGTGGTATGTTCAGTAACTAGCATACCGAAGGAAAAACACACTCCGCCCCCCCGCCCCCGATAAAATGGAGAATTAGGCAAACTGCAATTAGAGTCACAGCAATAGCTTACCTGAAATTACTGATGGAGAAATTATATTCCATTAGAACCTCACAAACTCCCATCACAAGAGAAGCACAGATGTTATTTTTGATGCCGATACCAGTGCTCTGAGAAAAATCTGCTGATTTATCCTGAAAGACACCAGAGAAAAACTAACAAGCTTCCAAAAACTTCCATTGTACAACATAACTGAGGCCCTGGGCAGTGTGGCTCAGCTGGAGCATTGTCCCATATCCTGAAAGGCTGCGGATTCGAGTCCCGTTAGGGAACAGGTTGCGGGTTCGATCCCTGGTCCGATTGCATATGGGAGGCAACTGGTCAATGTTTCTGTCTCACATCCATGTTTCTCTCTCTCTCAAAATCAATTTCTAAAAATTGATGATCTATATATATATAAAAGGCTAATACGTAAAGTGTCCCCTCCAGAGTTCTATCACTTGCTATGATGAGCGTTGACCACCAGGGGGTGGTGGGGAATGAAGGAAGGCCCCGGCCAGCATCCAGAAGGCCCCTAAAGGCCCTGATCGCCAGCCAGGCCTAGGGACGCTACCCGTGCACGCATTTCGTGCACCGGGCATCTAGTAAATAATAAATAAGAGATTTAGCAATTACCAGTTCAAAGTCCTCTAGTTCACTCTTGATCATTCTCTTGGTAAGAGACTCCAACATGTCATCTAACTCTTGGTAGAACCCTTCTTCCTCCTCCTCCTCCTCTCCCTGCTGAGCGGGCATCACCTTACTCTTATACCAGGCCAAGCAGTGCTGAATGCAGCACAGCAGATGGTCCTGTAGAAGAAACAAGAACGAAATATTCTTGAGTGTTCAGAGATAACGTGCAAAGCTGTTGCTAATCGACAATTCATTCTTGCCTATCAGGCTAAAGTAAGCTATGCACTAGCAGCACAAGTTGCGTCGACCCGAATCAACAACACTGCAAAAAGCTGCACTAGCAGAGGCCTGGGTTCCTGACCTGCCCTCCCCAAACGAACTGGCTTCATAAGAAGCTGGAACCTCACAAGGCAACGGCGGATGCGCTCCCTCTGATCCAATGCAAACACCATGGAGCCAGGCTGGGCAGCTCGGTCCTCTCTGGCTTCTCTGAGTCCCAGAGGCTATTCTAAAGGTGGGGGCTTGTGCTAAAGGAATCTCTCAGAGACCAACACAGCATCTCCGAGGGTAAGGACATTGCATGGCAGAGAAGGTCCGTGCATGAAGGCAGAATGTGACCATGGCATGACCACGAGCTCTAAATGGGGCGGAGTTTCAGTTTTATCTTCGCTTCCCTGTCTTGCTGAGGCTAGAAAGCAGGAACAGAAGACCAACCTGTCCTAGCTCCCCTGAGGGGTCCACAGCGCGCCAATGCTCGCTCAGCCTACATCATCCACGCCCTCCAGACTAATGAAGCAGGTGCCCTGGGTCATCTGCTCCTAGCCTCCCTCCCGCCCCATCCTAAAGCACATTCATTTAGTACCACAATCCAAGAGCCACAGCTGGAGACAAAGTGCTCCTGGGGGAAGTGGCGGATGCCGACACAGACATCTTACCAACAGACACGGGTGATGATGGTCAGAAAAGAAAAGCAGGGAGCGTTCAGAGTAAGAGCTCGCCGGGAGGAGCAGACAGCTTCACGGGGGAAAGGCGTCTCTTTCGAACCATCAACTCTATCAACAGGGTTGATATCTTAAGTAAAAACAACGGTTACAGGAAGAACAGCAGTCTCACCAGTGGCTCCTGTAGCGAGATCTGATCTCCTTGGGTCAAAATACAAGCTTCTAACTTCAGAGGAGGCAGCACATCGGACTGGGGCTCGTAGAACTGTTTCAGCTACAGACGGCAAGGAACAGAGACACCGCGCTCAGCGCTGCTTTTCACTTTACATGCGTCAAGCTAAAGGCACCTTTAGCCCTAGCTGGTTTGGCTCAGCGGATAGAGCGTCGGCCTGCGGACTGAAAGGTCCCATGTTCGATTCCAGCCAAGGGCATGTACCTTGGTTGCGGGCACATTCCCAGTGGAGGGTGTGCAGGAGGCAGCTGATGGATGTTTCTAACTTTCTGTCCCTCTCCCTTCCTCTCTGAGGAAAATCAGTAAATTTTAAAGGTAAATAAAAAAATAAAGGCACCTTTAATGTGTAGCACCTTCTCAGACCTATGTCCAAATGTCCAAAGAATGCAGCGACATCTGTGCTGCCCCTGCTTGAGGCATCGTACTGAGATCTTTCCTATCCCACTTCCATTACCTCTCCTACGAAACGCTACGTTCTCACGCCAACTCCTACACTTCCACAGGCACTCAGCATTTTCAGTAGAGCTTCACAATTAGCATATAGGCTATAGAGCAGTGATGGCGAATCTATGACACACGTGTCAGAGGTGACACGGGAACTCATTTTTTTTGGTTGATTTTTCTTTGTTAAATGGCATTTAAATATATAAAACAAATATCGAAAATATAAGTCTTTGTTTTACTATGGTTGCAAATATCAAAAAATTTCTATCTGTGACACGGCACCAGAGTTAAGTTAGGGTTTTTCAAAATGCTGACACGCCGAGCTCAAAAGGTTCGCCGTCACTGGGCTAGAGGCCTCAGGCAGGAGGGACATTGTTCAAGATGAAAAAATTGAATCCACAGAAATGAATAAAGAGCATCGGCAATGGTAAAAAGCGGAGACATAAACAAAAATTGTGTGTGTGTGTGTGCGCCTGTATACTTTACTTTTTCTTCTATTACTATAAAAGACATAAGATATAACTGTTTAAAGCAAAAATTGTAACACCATTTAGCTGGGATTTTAACATAGATAGGTATTCTTATTACTATCAGTACATAAGAGCATCTTTTAAAATTGTTCCCCCCTTTTTACTGAATTTATTGGGGGTGGCACTGGCTAACAAAATTATACAGGCTCCAGGTGCACAATTCCACAACACATCATCTGCACACTGTATTGTGTGTTCACCACCCCACTGAACTCTCTTAATATATAAAAAGATTCATGTACCACACAATGACATATTTAGCCGTAAAAAAGAAATGAAGTAACGATAGTTGGGACGCCATGGGTGAATCCTGAAAACACTGTCAAGTGAAAGACCACACATGATAGGACTCCATTGATATGAAATGTCCACAAGAGGCAAAATCTATAGTCAGAAAGCAGACTGGTGGTTACTTAGAGCTGGGAGGGTGGGGAAAAGATGAGAAAATGAGGTGATAGCTAAAGGGGGTGGAGTCTCTTGCTAAGGCAGCAGTTCTCAACCTGTGGGTCGCGACCCCTTTAGGGGTTGAACGACCCTTTCACAGGGGTCGCCTAAGACCATCGGAAAAGACAAGCTATTTAAAAATTCAAATAAATGCTGAATGAATAAGTGTTAAGGGTAAAAGGTCTTATTTATACCAGATATTCTCCAGCTAAATTCTTCCAATCTCGATTGTCCTTTTGAAATATTTCATAATTTAAAAACCCCCTTTAACCTAACAGACACTGAAGTATCTGTTTACCTAGACTTAACACAAGGCAGTATTTTGCTGTGTTTGCTCCAGATCTCAGTCTTTTTCCTTTTAGAAGTAAAACAATAGATACAGCTGCTGACAATCCTCGTACAAATGGCTCTTCAAAATGTCCTTCAGACTTAAGATGCAGACTGTTAACTGAGAAGGTAACTATTATACAATGGAAAGATGGCAGGTACATAGTGGTAATTAAAAAAAAATCATCAAGACCGCATCACAGCCCAGCCGGCGTGGCTCAGTGGTTGAGTGTCAACTTATTAACCAGGAAGTCATGGTTCGATTCCCGGTCAGGGCACATGCCCGGGTTGCAGGCTCGATCCCCAGTGTGGAGCATGCAGGAGGCAGAGGATCGATGATTTCTCTCATCATTAATAGTTCTCTCTCTCTCCCTCTCCCTTCCTCTCTGAAATCAATAGAACTATACATTTAAAATAAATAAGTAAATAAACCATCAAGATAGCATCACACACCCCAGTCAATGTGCCAGTGACTATTCGGGAATTATTTCACATTGTGAAAAGTCTGGAAAATGTCACTGCCTCTCACTGCCCCATTATCTGTTTTCTATATCCATAAATGCTTTTACCTGTGACAGCAGAGTCTGCATGATCGAATTAGCCAGCTGAGAGTTTCTTCGAAGGACATCATAGAACCCCTGAGAGGAATCAGAGAACAAATAAACTCTTTAACAGAGATACCAGCGATTCAGACAATCATAACTTCAAAATAACACTATCTTTCTTCCTTTTAAATGTATTTTTATTGATTTTAGAGGGGAGAGAGAGAGAGAGAGAAAGAGAGAGAGAAACATCGATGAGAGAGAATCACTGATTGGCTGCCTCCTGCACACCCCCACTGGGGATCGAGCCCGCAACCTGGGCATGCGCCCCTGACCGGAATCGAACCTGGGACCCCTCATCTGCAAGCCGACGCTCTATCCGCTGAGGCAAACTGGCCAGGGCAACACTATCTTTCTTTATCCTATTCTCAGTTCTTTGAAAAAGATGAATATATTATTTGCTAGAGAAACAATTCAGAAAGTTTAAGTTACTGCCTCAACTGTACCCCAATAAATTCAACAGTAAGTACCTAATTCATTAAAAACATAAAAAAGGTGACGAGCTGGGGGATGCGACATTCCTCCCACTCTGCGGAGGTACCTCATAAAGCATGAGCCGCACGTCAGCCTGCTGGCCCAGGCACCTCCTCAAGCTATCCATGATCTCCAGGCAGAACGCCTCGTTGGCCACAGCATTGTACCGACTGTGGACATCCACGTGGACCTGCTGAGGAAGGCACAGGTGAGCTCAGGCCCCTGGAACCCAGCAGCTCGTAACACACCTGGTTGACTCAAAAGGCCTACAAGACTTCTTCACACGTCTTCAGGACCTGGGAGAACCTAGCTCTTTTTGCTCCCACCAAATCCTGAGAGGGTTAGAGGCAGTTTTTAGTTTAGAAATGCAGATGGCAACAACACCCCTTAATGTGCATAGTAAATTCAGCAATTACATTTTTGTTTTCTCAGATTACAGGGTTTAATACAGGTTCATGTGCCAAGTAAATGAACTATAAAAGATGGAGATCATAAATGTATTTAGCCTCTGAGAACTACTGTGAAGAATAAATGAAATAATGAATGTAAAGCTCTTAGCCTAGTGTCTAACAGGACAAACCACAAATGCAACTCGCGTGTCTAATTTAAAATTTCCTGGTAACCAAATTTGAACAGGAACTGATGAAATTAATTCTAACTTTGTACTTAACCCAACACATCCAAAGTATTATCTCAACGTGTCATCGAAATAAAAAATTAATGATACTGTACATTCTCTAGTTTCACACTGTCTTTAAAACCCAGTGGATTTTACACGCACAGCACACTGAATGCGGACTAGCCGCATGTCAAGTGTCCAGTTGAACAGCCACACTGAGGCTGGTGGCTACCATCCCGCACAGCGTTGAGCACACAGCAGACCTGTCATCAGCAGTGCTGACTGCACTGCCACCAGCAGCACCTGAGCAGCACTGTGTGTCAGGACTGTCTGCACGGCCAGAACAACAGGAGGAAGAGAAGCCAGTGCGCATGCCACCAAGCCCCGCAGCAGCGCCCACGACAAGCCGGCTGAGCCACCTCACCTGGCTGACGCCGATGGCCTGGCTGCACTGGGAGGACGACAGGCTGCCCAAGACCTTGAAGTTCTTCAGGAGCAGCAAAAACCCAGCCACCGCCGACTTCCGGGCATCAAGCTGTCTAGCTCAGGGACAGGCAGAGAAGCAAGGAACAAACAGTATTAATTTCATAGCAATAGGCTTCTGGGTCAAAAAAATCCAGTTATGCCCGGCCAGCGTGGCTCAGTGTTTGAGCATTGACCTATGAACCAGGAGGTCACGGTTCGATTCCCAGTCAGGGCACATGCCTGGGTTGTGGGCTTGATCCCCAGTGTAGGGTGTGCAGGAGGCAGCCTATCCATGATTCTCTCTCATCATTGATGTTTCTTTCTCTCTCTTCCTCTCCTTTCCTCTTCGAAATCAATAAAAGAACATGTATTTTAAAAACCCAGTTAGTTTTGTACAAAGAGGAGTATGTGTCACAGTGAAACACGACAGAGCACAATGAACTGAATTTATGTGCTCGAATAAGAAATCAGCTGTTCACAGCAATGAGCAGCTGATGCTTTCATCATCTGCTTAACCTCATGACATTACCTATACTTCCTTCTATCCTGACACATCTATGTGGGGAATGAGAACAAGGGTGCGGCGAGGCTGTAAGTGCTGAATCGCAAAGGAAATAGTTGATTTTCTCTGCGCCTAAAGGAGAGCCATGCGTGGTACCTGATAAACACTCCACCCAGAAAAATGGTCCCGCCATCTCCCCGAGGCTCCATGACGAGTTCATGATATAGACCAGTGATTCCCAAAGTGGGCGCTACCGCCCCCTGGTGGGCGCTGCAGCGATCCAGGGGGGCGGTGATGGCCACAGGTGCATTTGTTTTAACTTTTTTTGTATTACCTTTCTATTCTGAGTTCAATAAATAGTTTCATAATTTCAAACTTCAATGTTTCTAATTTACACCTTTCTTTACTATATTTTACGAAAAAGGCAGAAACATTAATACATATATCTTTCTGTTTAATTGCTATTAAAATTTAAAAAAAATTAATTTCCAGGGGGCGCTGAGTAATATTTTTTCTGGAAAGGGGGCGGTAGGCCAAATAAGTTTGGGAACCACTGTTATAGACACGACAACATTAACCTTAGTCTGTCAGGCATGCATCTGGGAAGGAGCAACAGAAAACTCAATTCTACAACAGGGGCAACAGCACTGGCTGTTCCTACGGCCATCCATGAGGGCAGCATATTGCCTATGTGATTTCATACTTAAAGCACCAAGTGGTTTCCACCTAGTACTTGTCTCAGAGTATTCTGTAGGAGATGTATCGTCATCTATAGTTTGTATACTAAGAAATAATGGAAGAGAGGTCAGAAGGCATTGACTAAGCCAAAAACCAAAAGACCGAGACCCTCAAAAATTGATTTGGTCTACAGTCACCAGCCCACAATTCTGATGTTCACTAAAATAAGCTTTAAAAAATTTTTTTAATTACATTTTTTATTGATTTCAGAGGAAGGGAGAGGGAAAGAGATACAGAAACATCAATGATGAGAGAGAATCTTTGATTGGCTGTCTCCTGCACACCCCACACTGGGGATTGAGCCCACAACCTGGGCATGTGCCCTGACAGGGAATCAAACCGTGACCTCCTGGTTCATAGGTCGACACTCAACCACTGAGCCACACCGGCCTGGCTAATATTTACTTCTCAATGAAGGTGTATTCCCTTCAGAACTGCTGCTGCCAGCCGGCACCTGACCCTCCTCTGCAGGGCTATTCTAGTGCACAGCAGAGGACCCTCATCACAAGCTCGAATCCGGGCTCCAACACCAACTCCTATTGGACTTGGAAGGTCATGGCCTTCTCTAAGCCGAGGTTCCCTGGTCTGTGAAATGGAGCCGCAATAACCCTGCAGGACTGCCCTGGAGACTCAGTGAGATAGAGCACTGCGCACAATGCCGTCTGGTGAACGTGTTCGGCTGGGTGAGGCGTTCGCACGGCCCTGTGACCAGGTTGTACGAGGAGGCGGCAGAGAGGGCTGCTAGGAACATTAGACGGGGCACTACGTACCTGGCGAACATAGCTTTCCGGAGGACCAGTATCAGGGAGTCTCTCATCGACATGCTCACTTTGAGAAGGGGCTGAAAGAGGAAGCACAGAGGGTAAAACCAGAACGAGCTTGCTTATCGACCTTAGCTCCTTGCTACCCAATGCTGTGACTGTTTGGCTTTTCTAAGGCACTTTTTTTTTAATGTTTGTACTGATTACAGAGAGGGAGAGGGTGTGAGAGATAGAAGCATCAAAGATGAGAGATAATCACCCACTGGTGCCTCCTGTACACCCCTACTGGGAATGGAGCCCACAACCCGGGCATGTGCCCTGACCAGGAATTGAACCGTGACCTCCTGGTTCATAGGTTGATGCTCAACCACTGAGCCACGCCAGCGGAGCTCTGAGGCACTTTTCTACATGTTTCAGTGTATATCACGCTTAGTAATAAGGACAACACTGTAGTTGAAATACTACATTGGAACTAGCCTTTAACTCTATTGTCCTCAATTGGCAATTTTCTAAGAGCCTTTCGATTCCATCACTAACTTGAAAGTGAGTCAAAGGCCAGAGAGTAGCGCTGTGAAGACGGGTAAACTTGGAGAACAGAGTCTAGAGCTTGGGGCTCTTCCCCGCCCCCCCCCCCCTTTAAATTTATTGATTTCAGAGAGGGAGAGATAGAAACATCATGATGACTGAGAATCATTGATCGGCTGCCTCCTGCACGCCCCCCTACTGGGGATCAAGCCCGCAACCCGGGCATGTGCCCTTGACCGGGATCGAACCTGGGATCTTTCAGTCCACAGGCCGACACTCTATCCACTGAGCTAAACCAGCTAGGCTGGGGCTCCTGCCCTTTTAATACAAAGTTTAATGTTTTAGAATCAAGAGAAACAGGATTTCTTAGACATATTTATATTCATAAACACATGGGACTCCCACGCTCCCCACCTGGGTTCTCCGCTCCTGGGGCGACTCACCTGCACCGCCTTCAGCAGCCCCTGCACAGTTTGAAGGGGCAGAAAGGACAGATAGTCAAAACTCCCTGTGACTTTAGAAGAACAGCTCTGAAGAACTAAGGGCGAGTACATGATGATGTTTGAAAGCAGTTCTGAAAAACAGAATCCGTTATGAGTTGGCTCAAATAACTAAGGATATCTTATATAATAAAAGGCTAATATGCAAATCAACCGAACGGCACCAGTTGCTATGATGCACACTGACCACATCAGGGGGCAGACGCTCAACACAGGAGCTGTCCCCTGGTGGTCAGTGCGCTCCCACAGAAGCCCTGAGTTGTGCTCACGGCTGGTGAGCACAGAGGCGGTGGCAGGAGCCTCTGCTGCCTCTGGGGCAGCACTAAGGATATCCAACCGACAGGGAGTGGGCCCAAGCCGTCAGTCAGACATCCCCCAAGGGCTCCTGGACTGCAAGAGGGCACAGGCTGGGCTGAGGGACCCCCCCCCTCAGTGCACAAATTTTGTGCACCAGGCCTCTAGTTTCAAATAAAAGGAAAATTAAAACAGGGAAAGCAATGGTAATAAGTTTGTTTCCTTTCTCAAGTCAAGTATACTGCAACATAGATTTCTACTGATGCTACTTATTTTTCTATGGTCACTGTCTGCTGCAATAGTACAAGACTAGAAAAATCACCTAAGAAAGAAGCCCATTGTACTGCATGACAAGTAGCGCACAGTATCTTCATCTTCCCAAGCTAAGTCAATAAACACCTAGGAACTTTGATTATCTGTAAGCATACGTATGATGATCCTATACGGAATAGACAAAAGCTCAAAACATGGCCTCGCTCCCTTCAAGAATTTTAATTCGGTTGGAAGTCAAGTAACTATATTTTAAAAGAATGAAAGAGGTGCCCTAGCTGGTCTGGCTCAGTGGATAAAGCGTCGGCCTGCGGACTGAAAGGTCCCAGGTTCGATTCCGGTCAAGGGCATGTACCTTGGTTGCAGGCACATCCCCAGTAGGGGGTGTGCAGGAGGCAGCTGATCAATGTTTCTCTCTCATTGATGTTTCTAACTCTCTATCCCTCTCCCTTCCTCTCTGTAAAAAAATCAATAAAATATTTTTTTTTAAAAAAAGAAGAGGTAAATAACAAAATACCAAATAGCTAATAATCCTAACATAGCTTATTGCCCAGAACCATGGTCAGCAAACCGCGGCTCGCCAGCCACATGCAGCTCTTTGGCCCTGTGAGTGTGGCTCTTCCACAAAATACCACGTGCGGGTGCACACGTACAGTGAGATTGAAACTTCGTGGCCCATGCGCAGAAGTCGGTATTTTGTGGAAGAGCCACTCAAGGGGCCAAAGAGCCGCATGTGGCTCGTGAGCCGCGGTTTGCCGAGCCGCAGTTTGCAGACCACTGGCCTAGAAAGTTGTAAAAAAAAGAGATCACGCAGGATTTCAAAGAAAGAGCCCATGGGTTGGCGTGCTTCAGCAGAGAAGAGAAAGCTAAACCAGCTTCTGGACAAGGGGCCACATTAGCACACCAGGAGCCACAAAGGCCTGCTACACACAAGGGAAAAGCAGGGGGAGGTGCAGGAATGGACAGTGGGTAGTGCGCACATCTGTGCAGTGGGGGTGAAGGTTCCGAATAAATAAGTGAATAACTGAAGTTAATGTTGGATCAAATTGTCAAGAACTTTAACTGCAGGACACAGAGCTGACAAGTTATTGCTGAGGGAATTAGTGATTCCCAAGTGATGGAGGGTGCGGTAGGAATACCCTCTGGTGGCGATGTGCAGGCTGCACTGCTGCAGAGAGAAGAGAAAGCAGGGGATGCCGGTTAGGAAGCTGAGGCAGCGGTCTACGTGCAAGGTCACCAGATGGGAACCAGGCGATGGATGGGGTGGTGGTGGGAAGTAACAGTATGAGGGAAAGGATGGGAGAATTTAGCCCGGCCGGCATGGCTCAGTGGTTGAGCTGTGACCTATGAACCAGGAGTTCGATTCCCGGTCAGGGCACATGCCTGGGTTGCAGTCTCGACCCTTAGTAGGGGGTGTGCAGGAGGCAGCAATCAATGATTCTCTCTCATCACTGATGTTTCTATCTCTTTCCCTCTCCCTTCCTCTCTGAAATATATATACATAATGAGTAGCCAGATTATTATGACCAGCCAGATTATTATGACCACCCCATCAGTACAATGACGTGAATTAGTTATGCAAATAATAATAAAACCTTGAGCCGAAACCGGTTTGGCTCAGTGGATAGAGCGTCGGCCTGCGGACTGAAAGGTCCCAGGTTCGATTCCGGTCAAGGGCATGTGCCTGGGTTGCGAGCACATCCCCAGTGGGAGATGTGCAGGAGGCAGCTGATCGATGTTTCTCTCTCATTGATGTTTCTAACTCTCTCTCTCCCTTCCTCTCTGTAAAAAATCAATAAAATATTTAAAATAATAATAATAAAACCTTGAGAGTGCTTGCTTAGGAAGTTTTCAATATTCAGTATTTTTGGAAGTGTCAATGAAATACTGATGGGGTGGTCATAATAATCTGGCCACTTTGTGTGTGTGTGTGTGTGTGTGTGTGTGTGTGTGTGTGTGTAAAGAATGGGAGAATTTAGATACAAGTGTATTTGAGAAGATATAAAAGAATTCCAGCTTCTGGGACTTGGAGAGCCAGGCCTCAGATAATAGAAATAGTGGCAATAAAAAGGAGAATTTGTTTGAAGGGAACTCTCTTGCATTTGCGATATAAGGGAGAATACTAAATGGAAACACCCAGCAGGAATGAAAGCAATGAACTACGGAAAGAGGGCAGTCTAGACATGAAGATTCGGGAGCCGTACCCACGAAAACAACTGAAATCAGGAAAACAGGAATGACATGCATAAGCAAGAATACGTAAAAAGAGGAACAGACGTCTGCTTCCCACCACGATGGAGCAACAGTGAGCGGATTTTTCCTCCAACTTCAACAACAAAAAGGACCAATTATATCCAATAGCAATGTTCAGACACTAGACAAGAGCAGCACAGGACAGCGGCCCCTGAGAAAGGGAAGTAACCAGTGAGCCTTCCCACCCACAGAGAGGGAAACCCAGATCCCCGGTCTCCCTGAGTGACAGGAGCAGAGCTGAGGGTCAGGAAAGCCCGGTAGCTGGAGTTCACGGCAAAGGACTGGAGGGAGCGGGCTGCACAGGGTGAGCCCCGGAGACCTGCCAGTGCGCAGGGTAGAATGGGCGTCCCTGGGGACAGCAGGACAATTACCACACAAAGCAGACAAGGCTGATGCAAGGCAAGAGCTTCACTCCTTGGTTATACGCGCCTTCCTTTCTGGACAACCACAGACAACATGAACGGACTCAATGTTTTACTGACATGATAATAAAAGACTGCACGAAACTCCTTTTAATTGCTTTTTTATGTATATGTGTTTTTAACCCTCACTCAAGGATATTTTCCCATTGATTTTAGAGAGTGGAAGAGAGAGGGAGAGAAACATGGATGTGAGAGAAACACATCAACTGGTTGCCTCCCTCAGGCACCCTGACCAGGGCCTGGGCTGGGGAGGAGCCTGCAACTGAGGTACATGCCCTTGACTGGACTGGGGACCCTTCGGTCCGCAGGCCAACGCTCTATCCACTGAGCCAAACCGGCCAGGGCTGTTAATTTCTTTTTATCGTTAATTTTTTCCCATGATCAAACCATTATGACACTGAAATGAAAATATTCCTGAGCACTTTAGCCACCTTTTCCAAGTTCCATACCTAAGAAATGGCTGATGGGAGAGGATGCTCTGGTAACAACCCTGTTGAGGACCTGCTCCAGAATTTCCTGTCTGATCATCTCATGGATCTAAAAAGAACAGAAGAACCAATAAAACATTCCTTGGTGACTTTCAGCTTATAATTGCATCCACGCATGTTAGGCAGAATGAAGAGCAGTTTGGATATGGGTAAAACCTCAGTGTTTATTTCAAAGACAGATACAATGAGAATCACCTGAAAGACAGGATCCCTCAACCCCACCCTCAAACGACCATGTTTAGGAACCTACATAGATCCCTACAATGAACATGAACCTGCAGTGAAAACGTTGCTACATATAATGTTCAACATCAAATAGAAATGACTGCACTTGGGTGTCCATTATATGCCGGCACCCACATTGCTGACAGTACGCACATTTGATGTAAAATTCATAAGCCCATGAAAGTGTCTGAAAACCTAAAAACACCTTCACCAGTGTCTGGAAGCACAATAGTTGCCTTAAAAAGGACTTAAGAATTTTAGTTAAATTTCTTCCCCTAACTGGGTTATTTGAGGTAGATAGTAATAATGAGATTATTAGCAGTCAATTATATGCTCTAGAGATGCCCTGACAAAGCCAATATCTATCTGTGTGAAATCAAATGGAACCTCCCTAGTTTTAAAAAAGATTAAAAATGGAAACTATTAAAGGCTCTTGTTCTTAGAATGCTACTTAATCTGATTACTATTAATAAGTCCTTTATACAATCTAACATACAACTCTCAAGGGCTATTCTATGACTTTCACTTCATAGTTCCAGATCAGGACACTAGATTAACATTTCAATTAGTATCAAATAGCCCTGGCCGGTTTGGCTCAGTGGACAGAGCGTCCGCCTGCGAACTGAAAGGTCCCAGGTTCGATTCCGGTCAAGGGCACATGCCTGGGTTGTGGGCTCAATCCCCAGTGGGGGACTTGCAGGAGGCAGCCAATCCATGATTCTCTCTCATCATTGATGTTTCTCTCTCTCTCCTTCTTCCTTCCTCTCTGGAAAAAAAAAAAAAATTTAGTATCAAATAATTTCAGCCCACACTTTTGGCATGTAGCCACATTTAACAACTGCATGTCAAGATGACTTAGATGCCCTGGCCAGTGTTGCTCAGTGGCTAGAGTACCAGCCCTCACACCAAAGGGTCAGGGGTTCAATTCCCAGTCAAGAGCACAAACCTGAGCTATAGATTTGATCCCCAACCCTGGTGGGGCGTATGCAGGAGGCAATTAATCCATGTGTCTCTCTAACATCAAAGTTTCTCTTTTTCTCTCTTACTATCCCTCCTCCCTTCCACTCTCTCTACAAAGCAATGGGAAAATATCCTAACGTGAAGATTAAAAAAAGAAAAGAAAAACAAAGAAGATGACTTAGAGGAATCACTAGCAAAACAACTTTTCTAGCCTCAGATAAGATCTAGCTTTCTTTTTTTACTTGAAAGAAAATGTATTTTTCAGAGTGGATTCAGAAATTAAGACTGAGATGATAGTCATAATATCGTAACGAGTTTAAAAAAGGTAAATTCCCCATTTTGGTTCTTCAACAACAAACTAATAAGCATGATTCTTCAAGTCTGTTATTCTACAGCAATGTAAAAGATTATTTTTTTGTATAAAGAAATAGCATTAAAAAACCACTCAGAAATGATTTACTGCTGGAGGAAACCATGGGAAAGCTAACATATATTCATACTTGTAAAAAATTATCAGGGGTGGGGGCGGGCTGGAGGGAGTAATGGGGGAGGAAATGGGTCATATGTAATATTTTCAACAATAAAGATTTATTTAAAAAAAGAAATTATCAGAATGAATAAAGAACAGAATGAAAAACTCATACAAATAAAAGATAAGAAAGTATGTATTCCATTAAACTAGAACTGTAATGTGTCAATTACTACCCCAATCTGTTCCCGAAACTCAATTTCCTGTCCTCCAAACTCCATGCCCCATTTACGATATCATTTAATGAAATCAGAAAGTGGTTGCCAAACTAGAGTCTCACCTTAAAAGTCTCCAACAGGATGTCACCTCCCAGCTTACATGCATGCTGGTTTGGTGTTCTAGAAAGACCTGGGCTGCTTTCAATAGCTTGTCCATCGACAATCTTCTTTGGCCCATATGAATCCATTAAAATGAAACCAAACTGGACCAGGCCCTGGGTAACATGATCCCAACTATGGACACTGCAAGAAAACAAAGCTTAGTTTAAAAAAAAGTGTAGTGAAACACCTTAACTTTATCTTCGTTGCCATGTTACAGTTCCCAAACTTGATCCGATAAGGATAACCGGCTTCACCTGCACCGTTCCTTCTCATGCATCCTTATGGTACACAGCATCCTTCGCCACCTTCTCCTCCGAGACCCGCTATGTCCCCACTTTATGCCAACAAGTGAGCCCTGACAGGACAGCCCTGAGCTGACACGTGTGAGTAGAGGATCCTGGGCCTAGAGCAGCTGTGGGCAAACTACGGCCCGAGGGCCGGATTCGGCCCGTTTGAAATGAATAAAACTAAAAAAAAAAAAGACCGTACCCTTTTATGTAATGATGTTTACTTTGAATTTATATTAGTTCACACAAACACTCCATCCATGCTTTTGTTCCGGCCCTCCGGTCCAGTTTAAGAACCCATTGTGGCCCTCGAGTCAAAAAGTTTGCCCACCCCTGGCCTAGAGGCAGAGCGGCTCTCGGGGAGGATGGCGACACGCGGGAGGATATGGGGCCACAGGCCTAAAAGATCAGCCCTCAGCACATCTACCGCTATCAGATCAGAGCTAGACTGTGTTAAGTAGGTGCGGCCCTCTGAGACGAACTAATGGTGAATACCAGAAACAGTAAGGAGACAAGCAATAATCACCAAATACAAGGAAAAAAAAAGCTATCTTGAAAGAGAAGCACCGAACTCACTGAATAGACCTAATATCTGAGAGAAAAGGTTACTGGAACACATGGGAGGTTTTAAAAGTATAATGATTATCCTCAGAGAAATCTATATATATATAAAAACCTAAGCGACTGAACGACCGGTTGCTATGACGCGCACTGACCCCCAGGGAGCAGACCCTCAACGCAGGAGCTGCCCCCTGGGGGTCAGTGCGCTCCCACAGCCAACCTCCGCAGCAGCCAACCTCCTGTGGTCCCTCCCCCCGGCCAGCCAACCTCCCACCAGCTGGCCAGCCCCAATTGGGACTGTCCTGATCACCAGCCAGGACGAGGGACCCCTCCTGTGCACAAATTTGTGCACTGGGCCTCTAGTAAGAATATAATAGCATGGCCCTAACCGGTTTGGCTCAGTGGATAGAGCGTCGGCCTGCGGACTGAAGGGTCCCAGGTTCGATTCTGGTCAAGGGCATGTACCTTGGTTGCAAGGCTCCTCCGGGGCCCGAGCCCTGGTCAGGGTGCGTGCAGAAGGCAACCAATCAATGTGTTTCTCTCTCATCAATATTTCTCTCTGTTTTTCCCACTCCGCCTAAAAATCAATAGAAAAATATCCTCGGGTGAGGATTTAAAAAAAAGAAAAAAGAGTACAATAGCATGAAACAAACTGTTATAAAAGAAACTGGAAATTTTGGAAATGAAAAACATGATTGCTGGAGTGAAAAACCCAACTGATAGACTGATGAGTAAAATGGAGAGAGCTGAAGAACAAATTAATTTGAAGAAAGAGTTAAGGAATTTTTGTAGAACTTCACATAAAAAGACAACAATATGAAAAGCATGAAAGAAAAATTGAGATATGGCACAGAGATCAAGAAAGTCCAATGGCTAATGGGAGAGAACAGAGTGAAAAGGGAAAGGGGTTACTCAAAGAAAATAAAAGGAAAAAACGTCAGCGTTTAGGGAAGACAGGAATTCTTACAGTGAAAGGGCACACCAATATCAACCAGTAATAAGTTAACCCCTAGAGTGCCGGGGAGCGCGATCGCGCTCCTCCTGTTTTTCTCCAAAAGTGCCGGGAGCGCTATCAAAGCTTTGACATGGCGTCTAGTTCTAAGTCTGCTTTTGTTAGTGAAGATGATATTGCTAAATATGTCAATGTAGTAAAGGTTTCCTCAAGTTTTTTTTAAAAAAATATATTTTATTGATTTTTTACAGAGAGGAAGGGAGAGGGATAGAGAGTTAGAAACATCGATGACAGAGAAACATCAATCAGCTGCCTCCTGCACATCTCCTACTGGGGATGTGCCAGCAACCAAGGTACATGCCCTTGACTGGAATCGAACCCGGGTCCCTTCAGTCCATAGGCCGACGCTCTATCCACTGAGCCAAACCAGTCAGGGCACCTTAAGTTTTTGAATATGTAACTTCATTTACTTGCGATTCATAATTTTTTTCCTAAGCTGCTGTAAAATCAGCAAAAATGCCTTGGCAATTTTACCATAGTTCCTAGGACAGTGATGGCGAACCTTTTGAGCTCGGCGTGACAGCATTTTGAAAAACCCTAACTTAACTCTGGTGCCGTGTCACAGATAGAAATTTTTTGATCTTTGCAATCATAGTAAAACAAAGACTTATATTTTTGATATTTATTTTATCTATTTAAATGCCATTTAACAAAGAAAAATCAACCAAAAAAATGAGTTCGCGTGTCACCTCTGACACGTGTGTCATAGGTTCGCCATCACTGCCCTAGGATACTGGTTGGGACTCAAAGGGTTAAAAGGGAACTTACACAAACATGAACTGTATTAAATGTCAGCAGTTTTCTCTGATGGGCCATAGGCATGGCACCACATTTTTTCTAACACCTAACACCTGAGGAACCTACTAGGGTGTGGTTCATGAACTCACCTGTTCTTTACCACTTCCAAGATCATGGTTGAAACACAGGACCGATGAGGGACTAGATTCTGAAGAAATTTTGAGCCTTGGAGAAGCTGAAGATCCTTAAAGCTTTTAAAAACTGAAGCCTTTAAAAGGTCAAACACCTAATACAATGAAAGAAATAGGAAAATGAAGCAAAAAATAATGTTCCCTGGCACAGAATCTTAACCTTGTCATAGTTCCTACTTGCTGCTCTACTCTCATATCCCCATGACAACTGTCTCACTAGATGAGTAAGACATAAAAATTATGACTTTCAGTGGGAACTTGAGACAGGCCTTCCCACAAGTAGAGAACACATGAGCAAAAAGGGCAAAGAATTTTATCCTTTCATCCTTGCAACTAACCTATTCACCATTATTTCAATGTGATCAGGGACAATTTCTTAGAAAGCTAATCCTATATAATAAAGAGGTAATATGCAAATTGACCATCACACACTGGCACAAGATGGCCACCACAAGATGGTCTGCAAGGGAGGGCAGTTTGGGGCAATCGGGCTGGCAGGGGAGGGCAGCTGTGGGCGACCAGGCCTGCAGGGGAGGGCAGTTTGGGGCGATTGGGCTGGCAGGAGAAGGCAGTTTGGGGCGATTGGGCCAGCAGGGGAGGGCAGTTGGGGGCATTCAGGCCGGCAGGCAGAAGTGGTTAGGGGCAATCAGGTAGGCAGGCAGGTGAGCGGTTGGGAACCAGCAGTCCCAGATTGTGAGAGGGATGTGTGACGGCAGTCGGACATCTCCAAGGGGTCCCAGATTGACAATGGTGCAGGCTGGGCTGTGGGACACCCCCCACCCCAGTGCACGAAATTCATGCACCAGGCCTCTAGTAGAACATAATAGACCATAACAGAACTGCTGAATACCCAGCTAAACTTCCCATCCTTGCTACCTGTACTGTGTGATGTTTCCATTTTTATTCACCTCTCTTACCAAACAATAGGAAATAGAGGTACAAAGCAAGTACCTGAAAAAAAGTCTTCAAGCAACCCCCAGACAACAGTGTGGGTCTACATGTCTTTTGTTATTGTTGTTAATCCTCACCCGAGGATACTTTTCCATAGAGGGAGTGGAAGGGACAAAGACAGACACACATCAACTGGTGCCTCCTGCACAAAGCCCTGGGATCCAGACTCTTGACTGGAATTGAACCCAGGACCCTTCAGTCCGAGGGCCGGCGCTATACCCACTAAGGCAAACGAGCTAGGGCCCTACATGTCTTGTAGAGGAATTTGCTGCTGGCAGGACTGAGGTGGAATTGTTTAGGAAAGGATAATAATAATGAAAAAAAGTACAGGCTCTTGAACTCCGTATCAGCTATAGAAGGAACCAAAAAGTCATTAATAAATACCTGCTCCTCAAACCTTTGTATTCTTGCTACAGAGAGCAGGAGGGCAATGCTGAAGGGACATATGTAATTATTACTGAAATCTCCTTGCTGTCCTGCCTAGAACAGATAAACAAAAAAGGAGTCATTACTTACATCTTAAAGGTGTAACACAGGCTACTTTAAAAAAGTTCCTTAAATACATCAGAAACCTGTATGTCGGAGCTAAAACTATAAAACTTTTGGAAGAAAACAGCAGAAAATCTTTAAGAACCTGAATTAGGCAAATTCTTTCTTATACACAATACCAAAAGCAAAATTATGTAAGAAAAAAAATAGATATATTGGACATTACCAAAATTCAGAACTTTTCTGTGCTTCAAAAGACACCACTAAGAAAATGGCTGGTACCAGGATGGGGCAAGGAATGTACAAAGTGAGCCTTGGATAGTTTATGCCATAAACATGTCCAAGGACTAAAGGGGTCAGAAGGACACATGAGCAAATTAGAAGGATCCAGGTGGCCAAATATGGCTCACTTTGAGCAATGCTTTGAGTACACTGAATTTAAAAAGGTTCATGGGTACGTACTGATATTTCCCAAAAAATCAGAAGGCTCTTTTCACAGAAAAAGGGCAATCAATAATGCAGAAAAACCATTTTAATTTTCATTCTACCATTTTGCAACTCCCAGCATAATTACTGATGTAGGCCAAGAATCCTCAGTACATAAGAAGACAAAAACTACATGTGAAAGCTGCTGAGGACAAGGACTGTCACATGATCTCAAATTATGATCCCATGGATGACTTTCGAATTATAAAAGGAAACATGTATTTTTGCAAACGAAGAAAACTGATGGTCGTTGTCTTAAGCAGAAGATTTAGCATCAGCAGCAGTAGACAGCCTGCTAACCATGAGCCTTCGGATGTAATGCCACGGCACAGAGGTTGGCAAACGATAGCCTGCAGGCCAAAATCTACCGTTTTTGGACAGCCCATGAGCTACAAGTTGTTTTTCCGTTTTTAAATTGTTGAGGGAGAAAAATATCAAAGGAATATTTCATGATGCATGAAAATTAAATAAAATTCAAATTTCAGTGGCCTTATAGTTTCACTGGCTCATCCATACTCATTCATTTATGTGTAAATCTAGGTGAAGGGTAGACAGATGTTTGTCCTGCTAAAATATTTCAACTTTTCTGTGGGTTAAACATTTCAAAACAAAATATTAGGGAAAAATAGGTCCTTTATCTGTATACTAGCTTTCTTTAAAAGAGTCTGGAATCCTTCTGATTTTTATCTTAGTACTTCACAAATATTTAATGAATGACTTAGGTTCACAAAACCTCATAATATACTAGAAATAGGCAATATCCCTAATTCATAAATGGGCAAACAGGTCAGTGTTGATGTTAACATAAGATACTAGTGGAGTTAAGATTAAAATTTCAGTTCCTTGCTGAACAGTTCCCATCGTTGTTTTTAAATTTTTTAAAATATATTTTTATTGATTTCAGAGAGGAAGAGAGAGATAGAAACATCAACGATGAGATTCATTGATCGGCTGCCTCCTGCACGCCCCACACTGGGGTTCGAGCCTGCAACCCAGGCAGTGCCCTGACCAGGAATCGAACCGTGACCTCCTGGTTCATAGGTCGAAGCTCAACCACTGAGCCACGCTGGCCGGGCTTTTTCTTTTCAAACACTAGAACATTTAAGGAATGGCTTTCACCAGTTAACTGCCACAATATTTTGAATTTAATTTAAAAAGATCCGCCACTTGCGTCATAGATGCTTATGGCATACAAATGGTTAAAATGGAACTTGCTTATCAATGTGGTGACGTCAAAGTCAAAAAAGAGATCTTCTACCAAGCATGTCAAACTTGTGGCCCGCCGGCCACGAGTTTGACATGCTTGCTCTAGACCCAGGGTCATATTGCAATATTCCTCCTTGCTTCCTTCCTGTCATGAACTGGCATAGACGGGGCCTGAGCTCAGACATCCCTGCTTCACAGAGATCCCGGGTCACCTCAAGAGTTTGCCGCTACCTTTACGTGTTTCAGGAGTTCTCTGCCTAGTTCACAGTCCAATGTCATGGCAAACACAACGTGGAGAATAACGGTGCCTTCCACGTGACGAAGTTCACCTGACGGCACGGTAATAAGATCCAAGAGCCTGAAAGAGTCAACAGAAAAGTATGAAGAGACAGCAGGGCAGATGCTCCAATGAACAAGCGGACCAATGCGGGCTGAACTCATGGTCGCTGGAGGAAGGCAGCAAGTACTGATTCCACCTCTTTCTCTGCTCCCTTTTGCAACAAAACTTCCTGAAGTGTCTACAGTCATTTCCACTTCTTGTCCTCTTCCCAGTTCAATACAATTCATTTAGGCTCCGTCCCCTCCCAATTCTCACCCGCCAGTGCCACTGGCTAGTATCGCAAGGGTTCCAAATCAAGTCCCATATTAACACCTCAGCAAACTCCACACAATCGAACACCTCTTTCTTGACATACTTTCTTCCCTGAGGTTCTGGAGCACTGTCACAGGCCTCTAATCAATTTTCTTTTCTTTTCTTTTTTTTTTTTTTTTTTGCTGGTTCACCCTCCTTTTAAATGGTGGGATGCCTCCGGGCTCAGCACTGGGTTTCTTTCTCTTCTCCTCCTCACACTTTCCCTAGGTGACCCCATCTGGTCCCTTCCGACCTCTATCTCCACTCGGGCCTCTCTCTCCCTGTAACACCACACTGCCTGCTAAACACCTCCGCATGGGATGCTAACACACACCTCAACGCAACAGGGTCACAACTGGGCTTATTTCCTCCGAAACCTACTTCCCTGTCAGTCTTTCCTGAGTAACAAGATCACCTTCGCAGCCAAATAACTACAAGTTACTCCAGAGCAGAGGCGTAGGCTGCAACAGGACCAAGAGTGTGAATTCTAGCCTTGGATGGGTAGCTCACTTGGTTAGAGCATTCTCCCGATATACCAAGGTTGGGAGTTTGATCCCCAGCCAGGGCACATACAAGAAGCAACTAATGAATGTATAAATAAATGGAAGAATAAATTGATATTCTCTTTCTCTCTCTCCTTTCCTCTCTCTCTCAAATTAACAAGAAAAAAAAAGAGTGTGAATTCTACAGCCAAGATGCCTGGATTCAAACCCCGCTCCACCACGCCCTGGCTAGAGAATCTTGGGAAATTCCTCAATTTCTCGGTGCCTTGGTTTCTGCACCCAAAAAAAATAGAAACAAAATAAGGTTTTTATGAGGTTTAAAGTGCTTAAAACAGCACGTGGCACAGATAAGCACTTACAAATATTTGCTGTAAAAAAATCCCTTTTCAGCCGAAACCGGTTTGGCTCAGTGGATAGAGCGTCGGCCTGCGGACTGAAGGGTCCCGGGTTCGATTCCGGTCAAGGGCATGTACCTGGGTTGTGGGCACATCCCCAGTGGGAGATGTGCAGGAGGCAGCTGGTCGATGTTTCTCTCTCATCGATGTTTCTAACTATCTATCTCTCTCCCTTCCTCTCTGTAAAAAATCAATAAAATATATTTTTTAAAAAAAATCCCTTTTCAGACATGCCGTGCTGTGTCCTGCCTTTGTACTGTTACACTAACTTAAAATGTTCTTTTCCCTGATCTACATATTGTGGCTCTTACCATTCAGTTAAAACAGCAGCTTCGCAGAGAGGGCTCCCTGACTACCCAACACAATGCTGTGATAGTGGCTATGCTGCCACTCTCACATCATCCATCTGAATTAGATGCACTTTCCACTCTAATGTTTTCCACATTTTCTGTTCTCTTCTCACTAAAATTTAAGCTCCACGAGAGCAGGGCCCTTGCCTGACTGACGGGCTCACCGCTGTAGACCCAGGACCACACAGTTCCTGGCACAGAGGAGACACTTAACAATAAATAGCTTTTAAACTTACAACTTACAGAACAGTTACTGCTATTTTCCCGGAAAGGGGCAAATGAAAAGAGTTGAGGAGGCTGCACGGTTCTCTTAACTTTATCACTGGGCAGCTAGGAGAGGGTTAGGGAAGCTCTGGGCTCGGAGGTGAAGGCAGGGACCAGGTTAGAGAACAGTGAAGTAACTACAATGCACAACGAGGAGATACATCTGGAAAAGGGGTTTTGTTTCTAAACTGTGTTACTCACTCGTCACCACTCTGTTCCTCTTTGTGCTGCTTATCTAGCTCGTTGAAGAACGCTATGATGCCTTCCAGAACCCTCTTTCTGCTCCCCTGAAAAAACACAGAACAGGCAAGATCAGCAAGTTGAACTTTTCAGCTTAAAGGCTTCTCAAGGATAAATTTAAATACACACATTACAACCTAGAGTCACAGTAAGAATTTATGAATGCAGAATACTTCCATGTTAAAATTGGGTTTAAAATACATCTTTTTTAAAAAAATGTTTCCACTGAAACAGTCTAAGTGCCCATCAGCAGATGAGTGGATTAAAAACTGTGATACATCTACACAAGGGAACACTACACCGCTATAAAAAAGAAGGAACTTTTACCATTTGCAACAGCATGGATGGACCTGGAGAGCATTATGCTAAGCAGAATAAGCCAGTCGGAGAAAGGTAAGTATCACATGATCTCACTCACTTGTGGAATATGATGAACAACACAGACTGATGAACAAAAATGGATCCAAAGACAGAGAAGCACCAGACTGTCAAACCTCAGAGGGAAAGCAGGGGAGGGCGGGGCAGGAGAGGGGAGGGGTAGAGAGCAACCAAAGGACTTGTATGCATGCATGTTAGCATAACCAATGGACACAGCCACTGGGGCGGTGGGGGCTTGTCCTGGGGGGTGAGAGTGGCCAGGGAGGGGTTGATGGGGGAAAAAGGAGACATATGTAATACTTTAAACCAGCATTTGCCAACTGGTGGTCCACGGACCACTGGTGGTCCATGAGGCCCAAAAGGTTGGCGACCTCTGCTTTAAAAAATAAAAATAGAAATTAATAAAAAAAATAAAAAGATAATAAAATAAAGATTCCATTGATTTTTTTAGAGAGAGAAAAGGACAGAGACATAGGAACATCTTTTTTTTTTTTTTTTAAT